CCTCACGCATCTGAATCTCAGCGGGAACAAGATAAAAGATCTTAGCACAATAGAACCATTGGTGAGTAAAACCAACACATATTTATTCTTCCCATTGTTCTGGACACAGGCTGTTGGGAGACTCTAATCACATATCCTTGTGTGAGAATTCATTTTATGGTTAAAAATGGTAAATAATAAAAAAACAAAACAACATATAAACCTTCAAAACAATAACATCACGCAACAAAATATTGGAGACCAGATATTTAGACATGATTATTTCTTTTCTTGGGATGGTTTTTTGCAAAGTGCACAAGCCATAAAAGTTCATTTGTGTAACACATTTCAGCAACACAGCAGTCCAAAGTTCATACCTGCTCTGTCCTGAACAGCACAGTAATTTAATGTATGTAAATATTTGTATTTTAAGTAATGAATTCTGTCAAAAAAATAATAAATCGAAATTTTTTCTATCATTTGCTAAATAAAAGTATTTTAGTAATAATTGCCATTATATGGAAAGGATTTAGTCTGATTTAGTCTGAGTCCACATAAGGGAAAAAAGGTTATGACCTTTTGTAGTTCACATAAAGTAGCTGACTTCAACTTTTCTCATTTGGCTGATCTGTAGTAGGTAGCAACAGGTGCGGGAGGGGCAGAGACGTATCGTTCTTCATTTAAAACCTTTAAACCACAAACATTGCAGGAGGATTTTTAGCTTTCCAACTCTGTGCGCCCTGTAAATAGCTTCGCTGTAAACACGTCCGTGGAGAAAACGCGTCTCTCTAAAGTGTTCATTGAACCGTTTTGTTCTCTCTTGGCAGAAAGAATTGGGCTCCCTGAAAAGCCTCGATCTGTTCAACTGTGAAGTAACAAATCTGAACGAGTACAGAGACAACGTGTTCAAGCTCTTACCGCAGCTCACGTACCTAGACGGCTACGACAAAGAAGACAAAGAGGCCCCCGACTCTGATGCCGAGGTCTACGCCGAGGGCTTAGACGATGAAGACGAAGATGAAGATGGTAGGTGTAAGGCAGCTCAAGACGATAGCTTCTTCTTCTTTTTTTTGTTTTTTAGCACCATTTAAGTTGTCGATTTTGACTTTTAAACATTTGCTTTTACCAACATGTAGATGAGGAAGAGTATGATGAGGATGCCCCGCCTGGAGACGAGGAAGATGAAGAAGGAGAGGATGAGGAAGAGGAAAATGAAGAAGAGGAGGAAGAGGACCTGAGTGGGGAGGTGGGTGATTTTTTTTTTTATTAGATTATGTATGTATATGTATTTTTTTTTTCAAATCACAGCTTATTTTCCCCAAACTTTTCTTTGAATGAAGGAGGAAGAAGAGGAAGACTTGAATGACAAAGAGGTCGACGATGAAGATGAAGAAGGCAAGTACAAATGGAGTTGGTTGATACACCTGAACTTTCCCCCCCTTTCAATCTGATTTATTCTGTTTATATGTTGCACTACAATTAGCACTCACAGCATTTCTTCTCTGGATGGGTTGTGCAAACTAAAAAAGGACGGAGTTGTGAAAATAATTCTACTCTTAACACGCCGTAGTTTATGCCTTTTCCCCCCTAGTTTTTTCCAACTGATTGATTTGAAAAAAAACCTCTCTCACTGACAAAAGTTACGTCACGGGGCCATGACCCGAACATCAGCAGAAGTGGAGATTTGGAGCTAAACCGAATCTTGGCATCCTTGTTTTTGCTAGTGTAACTGGACCAAAGATAGAACCACTAAAAATAAAAATCTAAAATATAACCCCATCAGAGACTTACTTCCATGTCGCTTAAGTTTCATCTTGCCCAGTAGCAAGTGCAAAAAGACATAAGGGGGAGCTGCAGTTAACTTGAGGTTGTTAAATAGTTACTGAGTTGGGCTAAACCTGCTTTAATTTAGCCCGACCTGCGCCATATTCATCAAATGGATCAATAATAATGAAATATGCGCTAAATTTGAAGAAAAAAATCACCTGATTTTCAATAGGAAGCTTAATTTCGCTCTTGTTTTCCAGAAGAAGAGCGAGGTCAAAAGAGAAAACGGAACCTGGATGAAGAAGGGGAGGAAGACGAAGACGACTGAGAGTCCCGCGTAAGCCGAGTTGTGAACTGTTTTAAACTTGTTTCTCCTGGTCACGTCCCTACAAAATACCCCCTGCCCCTCCTCCCAGTTTTATATTGCAGTAGGAGTGTTTCTTTTGTTGATTTCTTTTCTTTTTAATTTTTGATTATTGGCCAGTCAGGTTGACAGGACGGCTTCCTGCACCTCTAATAATCCCATGTTCCCGTCTCAACAGTCCACTTTTACCCGCTTTGTGGACTCCTGTTTTGTAAAATGAAACAATAGCAGAGATTAAAAAAAATCTTTTTTGAAAAGAAAATTGTTTTGTTTTCTCACTGTTTATGTTAGACAGGTTTCAGATAACTTATGCATTTTAAAAGGCTTCCCCTTTGAAAACAAAAATAATGATAAAAAAAAAAAAAAAGAGTGCATGTATTATACATTTTAAAGTCAACTACTGGATTTCATGTATGGCTGTCATTTCCTTGTCTTAAATGTATTGTTTTGCATCATACTTTTTTTTCTTTTATGATGTAAGTTATGTATTTGTAGTGTCACCGATAAGCCAATACTCTCTGCTGTCCTGGTGTGAACCTTTTTGTCTGAACGTGCACAGTGTGACCCTGGCAGGGCTTTTTTTTGTAAAAGGAAAAAAAAAAAAAAAAGAAAAACAAATTATGGCACCAACATGTCTGCCTTTGTCAAAGCCGCTCCTCCTCCTGAAACCCTCAGCTTTGATAGTTCGGAAATTACGTGTTCTTGTAAATAATGACCAAATCTATTTTTTTGTATTCTCTTTGATGACGGCAGACATTGAACAGACAACTGAGGTGAAACTATGAATTGTAATAAAATATTAAATATGTATGCTGCTTTATCTAAAATGCGCAGTGTGAAATTTCTTGGATTTGAACTTTATATGCATAATCCTTCCATGAGAAGACGATGTTTGCCATCAGAACTTATTGGTTGTTTTAATTTCCCCTCATGTTTTTATTTTCATTCTCTTTATTTTTTGTTGTTTTTTGGGGGGGCCACATGAAGGTGACCATGTTTGAGCTGGTGGTGTTAGTGTAGAGAAGTAATTGGTGTTAATTGGAAGTTACAACTGCAGTGTATACGCATTTAAATATGTTATTTCAAAGTGTAAACAATTGGACTTTGCTCTCGTAAATTGCAACAATCGATTTGGTCCACCTCAGAAATGTCTCACTCTGATAAATCCAGTGTCATCATTCAAATTTTGTTTCTCTTTTTCGCTCCCATTCACTTCAATAAATCCTTTTTATATAAACTGTTTGAAACATTGTGCTTCTTTCTTTCTTGAAAGTCAAGTTTGGCTGTGGTTCTTGTAGTGTGGTCATGAAAATATAAATTTTATTGCTTTTAGAATCAAATTCTAAGAAATGCGTAAAAAAAAAAAATTGTTCCCGGTATTTTTCTTATGTTCTCAAAATGACAAACGCAGCAGCACGCACTCTCTCAATATGTATTAAATAGGAGTAACAGTAGCTACGTACTGCTGATAAAAGCACATTAAATCAGTTCTATAAAGGAAGGGTCTTTCAGAGTTGTGCATGTCGGCACAGTGCTGTGATGCCCAGCAACAACTTCAGAAAAGCAATTTTTGCTGCCCATCAGCTGGAAAGCGTATTAGAGTAATTGCAAAAGGCTGTGAAATTCACCACTTCACTTGAGTCAGAAAAAAATACTCATTTGTGGGAAACACTTCAGGCATTTTCCAGTCTCCAGAGAAGGGGATGTACCAGTTTACTCTGACAAAAATGTTTAGAAAAGCTGCAAAATCCCAGGAGCAGCGACTCAGACTTTGCAGTCTGAAAGCAAGGAAACCTGAGATCAACCTGAGATCAAAGGAAATATGTTCAGCAGTAACAATGAGAAACAAAGTATGGAGTTTCAGCACAAACGCCTTACACCAGCTAGTAAGCACGGAGGTGGAGGAAGCATGATTTTGGATTAGTTTGCAGCCACTTTCTCAGGGTGCCAGCCGGAACTGAACTTTTCTGTGGACGAAATTTATCTGGATTCAAATTTCAGGGCAAAAGTCCCAAAAAAAAAAATTGGGCTTTTGTATAAAGAGAGGGAATAAAATTCCCCCACAACAATGAGCTTCATCTTAAGGCAAACATATAATCTTTGGTGTTTTGTGTGTTGAGTCATTTTTAGAATGATGAAATGAAAATAATTTTTATGCTGCCACCGTAAAATCCTACAATTCAACCCAGTCATTTTTAACCTGCTACATTAGAATGTCAAATTGAAGGGGGGAAAAAAATCGAATCAAACCTGTCCCTCGTGTAGGAAGTTTTTGATCGAGCAGTTAGATGGAGCAGACTCGAGCTCATGATCAGAAGGATGAGTTTTTCGTCTACAAGATCTGAGGTGCGGTATAATGCAAACACATTTAATTGATTTGTTAAAAATTCAAGTTCGAAGCATTTGACAAGATCATCAAAGCAAAAACACCATTCGGCCACCTACTCAGTACTTCCCGCCTCCCCTTCTGTTGTCTACCATATTGAGCCGACTTTCAAAACCTGCAAACACACATGCACCACATGACACTATTAAACTTCTTCACGATTCCTCCTAGAGATTTGAACTTTACATTTCTGCAAGGACATGAGGAGCAAAGCATGTGATCCTCAACTCCAAACCTACCTGTTATTCTTTCTTCTCTTTTCTCTGGTGGATTCTTTCTTTTTCTTTGCTTTACAGGAAGAAGAATCAAAGACAACAAAAGGTTGGCAGGAATTTAGCCTGCATAGAAAACCCAGCTGTTAAAACACTGCTAATCAAGTGTAATTTAGGGCCATCTAAAGCATTAAATAGAGGCACTTAAACTGCAGTGCAGCCAAGGTTTGCTGTTTCATGTGAATTAGAAACAGGTGACTAAAGCAAAATGACAACTAAAAGCAAATGCATCCGCAGTTACAGTCGTATAATTAGCTGCTCCACACAGATTTGGCATCGGTTCAGTCACATACATACAGCACTATCCAGAGAGCATCAAAACCGTTACTTTTGCCATGTTATACAAAACAAAATGGGTTAATAAGTAGGCAGGTTGTCAGCTAAAAAAGTTAAAATGGGTCAAATAAATAGAAGCAAATGTTCGCCACCCTCAAGTCTTCAAAACTGAAAAGCAGCCTCAATGTGAGAAGTTACACATGTCTACCATCTGCGTTCTCTACTTTTGCACTATTTGAACACAGAGTCAAAAACCTAAGTTAAGTATCCACTTTTCTCGGGAAAAGACGGGATTTGTGGCGCTGTGAGTCATTGTCGAAAAGTCATTTTATACCAGCAGGTGATAGAAAGCAGTTACAGGATAAGCAGCTTTTTTGGGGGGAGGGAGGGGACCAACAACACAATCCATGTCTGCAAGATACTTCTCCACTTGACAAGTGTGAAACTACTTCACCTCTGTTATTCTGGGATAATGCTACAGCTTACTGCAAACTGCAGGGGCTGATGGAGGATGGGTAGGAGTCTTTCTATCATCCTGTTTTGGTTTAACAGAAAGTGAGAAAGAGGGAGATTTGGTCAGAAACACAGGATAGGTGAAGGTTTTTTTTTTTTTTTTTTTTTTTTTTGCATTTCTAACAGGGCAAAGAAAAGGTCGGGGGCAGTAGCACAAATGTTTATGTGCCGAAGTTAAAAACAAACAACTGAGTGAACAGCTGGGAAACAGGAAGTGTATTATATATTCCCCGCCCCCCAATTGATCACATTTTAAACTGGAAATCCCTGAACTGCCTGTTCTGCATCATAATGACAATAAATACTACTATAAGAATCCAGTAATTGCATCGGTTAAGACGTTGTCCAACAGTTTATTTGTACTCTATGCAGGAAAGTTCTTTAAAAAACAAACAAAAAAAAGCAACGTGGTGGGACTCGGAGGCTATTTGGAGGTCAGAATCGGGGAGCAAAGGAAGCAGCTTTGCCAGTCCACGAGGCTCGGAGGTCAGACGTCTTTGGGGCTAACGTTTTTCAGGTTGTTGAGCTCCAGCTCCAACTGGCGTATTCGTACATCCTTCGTGGTCAGCTCCTCCTTCAGCCGCCGCAGCTCATCCTGCTGCCGGAAAAACATCCGTAGGAGCTGCGTAAAAAAAAAAAGAAAAACAAACTCAACCAAATGACACATCTAAGTGAGACGAGTGCTACAGCAATGTCCCCCACCCCAATTCTGGAAATATGTTTTTTTAGATGTGCACAAAACTCTAGTGCAAACCTCTCATGCAACCGACAATATTTCAGAACCTTTATAACTGAGTTAAAACAAAAAACACCCTCTCACGCACTAAAAAAACAAAACAAAACAGACAAAAAAAACAAACAAACAAAGGGTTTCGGGGGTCTTAATGTGTGCAGATCCACAAACCTCATTCTCGGTCCTAGGTGGGACATTCTCCAGCAGGTCAATCCCGTTCACCACCACACTCTTCTTCTCCTTCACCGGGGCTTTAAAAACTAACTGGTTTGGTCTGTGGTAACCGTCCTTCAGGGACATCAGCACTGGGTCTGTCAGAAGCAAAGGTCAAGGGTTAAACGTGTGAAAGCCCGGAGGTTTTAAAGAAGAATCTTCCAGGCCTGGAATCGCTGCAATGGTTTCCTGTTTGTCAAACGGCCAGATGTAAACTCGAACGGTCTTGGATGTAAATACTTTTTAGATTTAGAGGAGGCAGCATTGAGTTTCTATGTTCCTCTTCAACAAAGTTTCTCTTTTAGTGGGACTGCGGGTTCGTTTTCTACGCTTTTACGCTATGCGTCATTCTTGTTTTATACGTACGACGTATTTTCGTTGTCAGGTGGTCATGAATCAACATCATTTTGATTTCCAATTGTTTTTACCAGACAAACCTACAGACTGCAGTTTGAGAGACTGACAGATTAGGCGTGTCTGATCCAATGGCCAGCATCACTGGAGCACCACAGGGCACTGTACACTCACCACTCCTTTATTCTGTATACACCTTCAGTTTCCAGTACAAAGCAGAGTCTTATCATCGACAGAGGTACTCAGGAAGAACAAAGGAGATGAGAGTAGATTTCAGGTGAAACAAGGTTCGGTTAAATCCCATTTCCAACCTGGGAGAAGAAGTGGAGGTGGTTGAGGAGTACAGACTGGATTAGAGTCTAAGAGAATAAAGTAGTCTTTCATTTAAAAATGCTTTGAAAAATGGTACCATTTCAGTAAACCTGCCTCACCTTGCTAGTACAGTGAACTTGTGGCCAAGCTTAACTTTCTGGCTGGCCTCTGTGATGCTACAATCAACCTGCGTTGAATTTAGTCTAAAAATACACTCTCTAAGAACATTTTGTAAGATGAATCCAAGACAACAAAACACAAAGAGTGAGGTAGTGAGTGCATTCTTTATGTACAATATGTGCAATATTTCATCAATACTGGTGTTTTTTTTTTCCTTGCATTTAATTCTTCTAATTTCTGTTAATAAACCAGTATGCACACTTGGAAAAAAAATCAGTTTCACTTTACTAAACAGCTGATGAAACAAAAACGCTTGGGTACTTGAAGAAAGCTTAATCAGCTTCAGTTTTTTGGCTGCATAGGCACCGACTTCTGCTGAGACATCCCTCATGAGAGACAAAGCAGAAAGGTTTGTCTCTCAGAGAGACGGACAAGAAAAGCGACTCTTACGGCTCGCACACCGGCAGGAAGACTGTTCACTCGCCGACTGTTCACTCGCCGACGATTTATATATATATATATATATATATAGATATATATATATATTGATATATTATATATATATATATATATTATATATATATATATATATATCAATATATATATATATCTATATATATATATAGATATATATATCTATATCTATATATATATATATATCAATATATATATATATATATATATATAGATATATATATATATATCTATATCTATATATATATATATATATATATATATATATATATATATATATATATATATATATATATATATATATATATACACGTCGGCGAGTGAAACAGTCTTCCTGCCGGTGTGCGAGCCGTAAGAGTCGCTTTTCTTGTCCGTCTCTCTGAGAGACAAACCTTTCTGCTTTGTCTCTCATGAGGGATGTCTCAGCAGAAGTCGGTGCCTATGCAGCCAAAAAACTGAAGCTGCAATGCTCCTGGTTTTGAGTAATTTAGTCCTCCATGCAATTGGTGTGCTGATGCAAGAAGACGGTGTGTCTAGAGTGGACGCATGATGAGGAGAGCCGTAGTATTATCAGGCAAATCCTGAATCAAATTAAAATGATGGATCTCTTGTCTTTAGGACTCTTTTGCTTGTTGGAGTTGTGAAGCAGCGAAGTGTTTTGTTTACCTCTATCAATCCCACTTAGCCACTCGCTGGCGGACAAGGCAGGTTCGGTCCCGGCTGTCATTGGATAAATGTCCTCCTGGTACGTGTCTGACTGTTGACACACACATTTTCAGACGATTTAGCTTCTGCTCTGCGCATCTTATTTGCTAAGCATTTGTTGCCGCAAATAGTTGTATGCTTTACACCATAAACACAAAAACACAAAGTCATGCATCATATAATATTACGTTTCAAAAACAATTCTAAACAGGTGTGTTTTTAGTTGAGATTTAAAGGAAGTCAGGGTTTCTGCTGTTTTACAGTTTTCTGGAAGTTTGTTCCAAATTTGGTGCATAGATGCTGAAAGCTGCTTCTCCTCTCTTGGTTCTGGTTCTGGGGATGCAGAGCAGACCAGAATCAGAAGACCTGAGAGGTCTGGAAGGTTGATACAACAACAGCAGATCTTTGATGTATTGTGGTGCTAAACCGTTCAGTGATTTGTAAACTAACAACAGTATTTTAAAATCTATTCTTTGAGCTACAGGGAGCCAGTGGAGGGACTTTAAAACTGGTGTTATGTGATCTATCTTCCTGGTTCTAGTGAGAACAGGAGCAGCAGCGTTCTGGATCAGTTGCAGCTGTTTCATTGATTTGTTGGACAGACTTGTGAAAACGCTGTTACAATAATCAATGCGACTAAAGACAAACGCATGAATGAGTTTCTCTAGATCTGGCTGAGACATTAGTCCTCTAATCCTGGAGATGTTCTTCAGGTGATAGAAGGCTGACTTTGTATTTGTATTTATGTGGCTCGCAAGGTTCAAGTCCGAGTCCATCACTACTCCCAGGTTTGGGGCCTGATCGCTAGTTTTTAGTTGTAATAACTGTAGCTGTGCATTGACTCTAGATCGTTCCTCTTTAGATTCGAAAATAATGACTTCAGTTTTGTTTCTGTTCAGCTGGAGAAAGTTTTGGCACATCCACACATTTATCTGTTCTAAACATTTATTCAGTGATTGGATGGAGTCAAAGGTCACCTGCTGACTTCGTAACGTAGAGCTGTGTGTCATCTGCATAGTTGTGGTAGCTAATATTATTTTCTGTTATAACCTGAGCTAGTGGGAGAATATAAATATTGAATAAGAGGGGTCCTAGGATTGAACCTTGGGGTACCCCACATGTGACCTTTGACCTCTTTGATGAGAAGTTTCCAATTGAAACAAAGAAATCCCTGTTCTTTATGTAGGATTCAAACCAGTCGAGCACCGAACCGGAGAGTCCAACCCAACTCTCCAGTCGATTCAGTAATATGTCATGGTCGACAGTGTCAAAAGCTGCACTGAGGTCCAACAGAACCAGCACTGTGGTTCTCACACAGTCCGTATTTATATGAATATCATTGAATACTTTTACGAGGGCAGTCTCCGTGCTGTGGTGAGCACGAAAACCAGACTGGAAAAAGTCAAAGCAGTTGGTCATCATGAAGAAACTATTTAATTGTAATGCTTTGACTGTTGTTTCTATATTGCATGACTTTGTGTTTTTGTGCTTGTTATGATGTAAAGCACTTTAAATGTCTTGCTGCTGAAATGTGCTATAAAAATAAAATGTGATTGATTGATTGGTTTTGGTATATTTAATCTGGTAAAGTTTTAGCAAGAAGCTAAGAAAAGCCTCTCTATAAATCTAATTAAAGATCTATATAAATAGGTGACATTTGTGAATAATTTAATTAAATTTAATTAACAGGTATTTCTTACAAACAAGAACTGTGTGATACTGGTGCTGTGAGTGCTGAGAAATTACACTCCAATTTTACTTAACAATACCTTAAGGGATGTGAGACCTATATATAAAAATGTAAATCTGAAAAGTGTGGCGTTTGTGTGGATTCCTGAGTCTGTTCTTTTGCAGAACCCTCTTATTTTTTCATCTTTCAACTTTTGACTGAATTGTTGATTCATTCTTATTTTTGAAATGGCTGAACTCTGGTGTAAGAGGGAGGGTATCTGTGAACATCAATTTTTAAGTCTTCCCACAGAGTCTCACTTATATTTTAGGTCTCAGTAAAACGCGTGGACATGATTTGAGCTACGATGTCGCATCGTAGCTCTTGATGCGTTTCTAAAATATTTTTTCAAACCTTACCCTGCTGTAAACTTCTTCACAACTCTCTCCTTGGCCCGTCTTGCTTTGTCATTTGGTCTATGTGATGTCTGATGCATTCACAGATTAAGTCACTGAAGGCTGGCCTCTGCTTACTAAACAGGTGACTTCTGAACACAATTAGTTGCACTGGATTTGTATTTAGCCTCAGAGTAAAGAGAGCTTCCACACTTTTCAGATTTGTGTTTGTGAAGTACGTGGCAACAAATTTTTCAATCCCACCTAACAACGTTATCAAAAAGTCATCAAAACCTATCAAAAGACATTAAATCCTCTGGGCTGCAGCATGTTTGTATTGTACTTCTGCACATCTGATTGTGGTGGAAGAACACACTCACTCTTCTTGGCACAATCATAGAAATGGGTTCGATCAAACCCTTGAGGGTGACAAGTTTGTAGAAGCGGTACACCTCGCAGGCCGCCACATCCAGCCCGTGCTTTGGCATCACACCTGCACAGGAGACCAGACCAACACAGTGATACCGTTAGCTTGACGGCATGAAGCATGGCAGAATATCATCAGCAGGATGCATAAATCCATCTGTCATATGACATCTCAGGATAAGCTGCCAGAGCTCTTTACATTGCCAATTATGCACTTCTTTCATGTCTCAACATTGTTAATTAAGATGAATTTCCTTTGCCGTAGATGTCGGATCAAGCTCTGACTTACCCAGTCCTTTCTGTGGAGCTGGGGAACGGAACTCCATCAGATACTGGATGTACGGTTTCTCTGTGGTGATTTCAAAGTAACGGATGTTGCCATCGCCCTGCAAAAAACAAACACATTAAGTCTCCAATTTTCACAAACGACGACGTGCGACTCACGTGACAAGTTGGAAGAGGTTCTGACCTTGCCTGCCAGGTACAGCATGTGTGTGTCCGTGTCGTAGAAGGGGAACAACAGTCCTGAGAGGCCATCTATGTCCTCCTCCACAATAGGCATGGACAAATCTTCCTGAGAGGACAAAAACGGAGAGAGTTAAACGCATCCTGCCACGCCTGGCATCATGAAGAAAGGCTACACAGAGGCACCGCCTGACCTGATCCCAGAAAGCAATCTGCCTGGTGTTCCAGCGAGAAACGCCGGTGGTGAGCAGCCGCTTCATGTTCCCTAGGAAGACCACTCGGTTCACGCGGTGGTTCTTGTAACTGGCTTGCTGCACACAATGACACAGTGGAGCTTCAGTATGAGTATGAGATCCTTTTAAATGCAAATATTGCAATGATGTGGACATAAAAAGAATAAAGTAAAACACAACTATAGATAATATTAATGTTTTCTAGCTGAAATCAGAAATTTAGGAAATTATTTTGCGCTCCTTTCTGCCTATGTTGCCCAAATTTGATGGAGAAGGCAGAAGGCAGGAGGCACACAGGTCTTATCAGAGCCATTGTTGATGCAGTTTAATTTGATAGCACAGGAAAAGAACCGGGTCTGTTCCAGGCCACTCAAAATGATGATGCCCAGGAAGGAAGGAGCACATTTCTCAAATGGAGTAAAATGGATCCACAATGGCTCCATTTAATAATTAAAGTTTTTTCTTTTTCTGCTTGTCTCCCATATTTGCGGCTATAATAAAGCACTCGCAATGGATAGTGATCCATCCATCCAAATAAAAATGCTTTACGTAGAGGAGCAATATGTGCATGTATTGATTTTAACTTCTTTAACAAACTGAAATGATGTGTTACTTTTTCCCACTAGGCAGCAGAGAAAGAGTTTACAAAAAAACAAAACATCTGAAAAATATGAAGGATCCTATACTTTGGAAGAACACAAACAGAACCAGTTGCAGTTAGTCCTAATAATTAGTTAATGTAGAAAACCTGCAGGACTCTCCCAGAGCGTGGCTCGATGACGCGCAGCTTCTTGTCTTTGCAGCTTGTGGCCAGCAGGCTGCCGTCTGTATTAAAGGACATACTCAAGATGACGTCAGTGTGGCAGTCGATCATTTTCACCGGCTCTCCTGTCTCCAGGTTCCAGATGAGGATCTGAGACACCAGGAAGAGTTTTTATTTTATTTTATTTTGGGGAAATCCATTAGAAACTGGGCACCAACCCGAGACGTGGCGGTTTGCGCACCTTGTAGTCGTAGCCGGCGCTGAAGAGGATGCCGGTGCTGGTTGGATGCCACTCGATCAGACCCACTCGTCTGCTGTGACCGTACAGCTCCAGGACCGCCTCCGTCATGTTGCGCCTCAGACCGCCTTCTGGGATCTCCCATACTCTAACCTGGGACAAAAAATAAAAAAGCATAAAATTACTGTACTTTGTTTGGGGGAGGAGGGGGATACTTCTGTTAAATCTTAATCGTGAAATTTGAAGTCATAACTTCAGATATTAGCAACATGTACCTAATAAAGTGGTACAAACAAAACAAAAACATCCACATGGATGTTTTTGTTACATCCATAGTATAACTATGACCTCAAAACGAATTCAAATCATATTGCTGAAGATCCGTCTGATAAAAAATTGCACGAGCTATCAATGTAGCCCACTGCTTCGGGATTAGAGAGGATTACTGGAAGGGCCTGAGGATCAGATCAGATTATAATTCAACAAATGAAAGTACTACGCAGAACACAGCGCGACTACGGCTTTGCCGAGCTTAGGGACGAAGAGTAACATGTGGATACACAGGTTGGAAAAACTCCCATGAGGGTTTTATAGTTGTGGTGTAAGGAGGAAGTTAAAGACAAATGGAGTTTTAAAGCAAGATCTAACTTTGTGTTAAATTTCAAATCTGACCACTTATCATTTGAAGCACAGCTCCTGGAGTCAAATACCCAAACAGAAGCTGACGTTAGACAATTTTTAGCCCTATGAGGCCTGACCATGTCACTTTCTGTTCTCAGACAGAAATAAAATCATAAATTTACAAAACAACACAGAGGTTGTGTGTCACTCACTGAGGTGTCTTCAGAGCAGGAGGCTATGATGTTCTCAAAAAACGGATTCCACTTGATATCCAGCACGTTGCCCTGGTGGCCACACACCTTCGGGTAATGAGAGTCCAGACGGCCAGCCTGAAAAGAAAAATCCAGATGAGCACTGACACTAAAACAAACAGCATGCATGGGAAATGAATCCAAAATATGAGCCAGTACAAAGATTTCTGGGTTGTACACAATAAAAGGGAAATGGAAGTCAAAATTTTCCCCAAAAGAAAACAGGTGTATGAACATACATTTTACTGATTGAAACACATAAATCATATAAAAATAACTGAGTGATGTTGTTCAATAATTCTTGAACACAAAGCAGACATGGTTTCTGAGTGGGACGCCTGAGGCAGGTTAGAGTTACTGCAATGACCTGGTGAGTCCACAGAGGGGCACTGGCTCATAGCACCCAGTGACAGACACCTATCAGGAACCATTATGTTGTTATGAATGTTTCATGTCACTCCAGTCCACTGACCTGCTTTTTATTTCCTTAGAGATTTCCGTTTGAGCTGCATGACGGTATAAATTTGTGAAATACAGCGTGTTTACATGCATGACCTCAACAAACTGCAGGTCTCCTCTGTTATTGTAACACTACAGTTAGTATTGAATTGTGTGTGAACGAAAATATACAGTTCAGGAGACGAAACATGCTTTAAGAAAGTGTTTTGCACTCATTTCCCCAACATGGTGGCAGGTTTGCTTCAGGAGGAAGAGTTTTTGTTCAATCAAAATATGAAGAAAGAGCGGCAAAATCACAAGGCTGGATGTCGTAAAAAGTGTTTTACATCGACGAAACCAAGGATTATAAACATCATTGTATTGACAAGTACAAATAGGGAATTAAAAATTTTTTGGATGAGTTGTGGATAGACCTGCAAAAGCATTAGATCGCAAATAATCACCAACTTGCAGTATGTTGAGGGGAGATTTCACAGGATAGGCAAACACAAAGAGCAAGACTGCAAATCACTGATGCACCAATTACCTGATGCAGCCTGATGTTTGATCAAAAATCAAACATCTATGAAAGGAGAAAAAGAAATCATGTCTTGAAAAACAATATTTATCTCAGCTTGTTGAGTTACTCAAATTTTTATTATGCGCTTTCAGGCGGCACAACATCAGCCGCCTTCGAGTACCGTGGATACTTTGTGCGTACGCAACTCTGCGAAAGAGAGAAAGGAAAAAGAAAAAAGTTTTGCCAGTTGTCTCAGCACCCGTCTTTAATTAACAGCAAAGAAATAAGTGTCCCACAAACAAACAGTATCGGAGGGCTCCGTGTCTGTAATCATGCTGTATTTAACCAAAGCAAATCAAAGACAGCCGTCCCCTTCATTAGGCCTTTGGGAAATTGTGACTTTGTTGAGAAGGGGGATTTTATTTAACTACTGACCAGGAAACCACACAACCCTTTGTTAGACATCAGGGCTCTTCAGTTCACTTCCTCAGGCTGCTGTGTCACACATGATCCCCCCCAGTGACGCGCCTGTTTACAACTTTCATTGATTTAACTCTTTGCTAATGTGGAAGACCACTGTGAACACAGCATAACAAAGCCCACGCTAGTATTGGGAGACTGGATGTCTTAAAAATACATTTCCCATGAGGCTCTCCTGCACTCATGAGATTGTGTGCCCCCTTTACGCCCCGCTGCATTTAAATCAGCTAAAACTAAAAGCACCGAGTCATGTTTATTGAGTTACTGCATCTTTGTGCTTTAAATCATCTGTTCATGATTCAATTTCAACAGACCTTTCTGCTGGTGATGTTTCATACATGTCTGCTCCACTTCACTCTGACGGCAGAGGGATCATGTCACGTGTTTCACTGTGCAGCAGAGAACCTTGTTTACACCGTAGAAACATTTCAGACATAAAAAAATGGAAACGATTATCATTGCTTGCAAATATAGATGAATTTACATTTCTGTGAAAAAGGAACAATTTGAGTGTCGTATCCCACGTCAGTTTGTCTGGAATTTACTCAAACTAAATATAATCGCATTTTACAGCTGCTTAAAGAAAATCAACCAAAACAGAATTTGCTTTTTTAACTTTCCTTTAGGCAGGGCTGTAGGGACCACGCTGGTAGAGCATCTGCCCTAATTAGTTTTTAGTCTACTACATTTGAAATAATTACCAATTAAAACATCACAGAACCAAAAATGACGATGATAAATGCCTTCTGCCTCTCGCCTGGCAGCCATTGAAAAGAACAAAGCAGGAGATTAGGTCACTTTAGATTCTCCAGGGCGAGCAGGATTAATATCAGTGTCACACCAATCAGCCTGCTGGCGACACAAATCACCCACTTTCACCTCGACTGGTTCTGACTGGAGGGTTATGTGCAGCACATTTTCTTTTTCTTTTCACTAAAACAGTCAAACCTGAAAACAGCCACTTTTATTGGTAAGTAAACGTATAATCAGACATCAATACATGCAGCACACTTTTCTCTTCAAACTATGAATCAATGACTTTTAGAGACGCATGCTTTGATTTCTTCCAATTCCTTCTTCTTTTTTTGTTGGAATCAGTTTCTATATGCCGCAGTTCTCAGAAAAAAAACCAAACCTAAATAGTTGACACAGGAAGCCCAAATGAGAGTACACAGTAAGTACGTTTAAACTGGTGTAAAAGCGTCACACAAACATCCCAGTCCGTCTCCGTCGTGACCTTGTGTGTCCTCGTCTGCTCCGCTCTGTGGCCCAGGTGGTGTCAGCGGCAGTTCCTTCCCTGACGGCGCCGACTGTGGATGAACATATGGCCGTCTCGCCAACTGTCACTGAAATATGTCAGATGGGCTTGAGCCTCACCGTGAGCCAAACCCGCCTCAGATCAGCTCGGTTACCTCATGCTGACCAAGTGCCCGACTGTGGAGTGACAAAAATGAATTTTGCAAACGAGGGGGGACAAAAATAATCAAACGAAGCTGTCACAATATGGATATAGCGTTATCTATTATACAGAATCTCTACTAAAGTTCAGCTTATATTTAAAGATTGTTTAGCTTCTTTTTTGTTTTGACATACACAAACACCTGGTTCTTTATTATCCTCTTGTCACTCCACAGGTTTTCTTCCAACTATTTTAATGTAGATACTTTGATTTGGTCATATGTCTAAGATCATATTTCTTCTTCAAGACCCAGTGGCTGCTAGATTTGTAGTTTATAATCCACTTGTTTTCTGAGATGCATGGATTACTTGCATACGGGGGGATTTCCCCCTTCTCAGTAGAACTATTTGAAGTTAGGGTTGGCTTTATCCAACCTTAATAATTTAATAAGCCAATTTATTAATATTGTTAATAACCAGAGATGTTAGTAATCTTAAATTGTTCTAAATATTGTTAGACATATTGAATGGGGTGCAAATAAAGAGAGAACGGCACTAAAACCAAGTGTATCTATTTGCCATTTTCAAAGCTGTGGAAATAAATGTAAGAGAAATATGAGCAAGTTTTTATACACTTTGTTTGCAACCCGATGAGGTATTAATCCCCTTATAAGGTCATATAAGAATATAAAGTCTGCATAAGGCGACTCAGAGGTCCACATATTTAATACTTGAGATTTTATGGCTGTTCCATCAGCTGTTTGACTCATTATCTTTGATTCATTAAACAACATAATTGATGCTGTGAAGCCCAGATGTGTTTTTAACCGTCATCAAATCCAATTAAAAGTTACCAACAATCAAAGTCTTTATGTTTGTCATGCCCAGCTATTGTGCCCGTCTCACGATGAGTCCCCTCGTCTGATTCGGCGCAACAGGCCCGAGGGTTTATACCATCGGCAGCCACAACTCTAATTCGTCTAACCCGTAAATTTGTTTCTCGGTCGGCCCAGAGTCGCATCGGAGTCTAGACAGTAGGAAGCAGCATCTCTCAAGTCAACAAGATGCTGCAGAGTGTGTGCTGCTCACAGCCCCTTCAGATTTAACAGCTCCAGACAAAACGAGTCTCATAAACTAAGACAACGGCAGGATGATTAACTGGAGGCCTCGAACTATTTTCTGCACTGCGGCCTTGCCCTGTTTAATCCGACTGAAGCAGTTCAGACAGACAAAATGGAGATTGGCTTCCCTCAAATGCCTTCACGGCAAATGAGCAGCAGTTTTACAACAATTTTCTTCTATGGTTAGAGAATTAAATTTGCAAGTCCTAAGAAGATATTGTGAGAACAATTAGTAGTACAAGATGGTGTGAAGCGGCATCCAACAACGTGACATCTTTTCATGCACCACATGTCATAGAGATAGCAAGAAGGTAAGAAGGTGATTTAGAGCAGCAAAATGAGCCTCCAGATTTAAAAAGGAACCAAAAAAGACTCAAATTGTTGACTTTAAAGCAGACTTGTTGCCATTTCGGATGCGTGTAACCTTTGCCAATGAGGCGTTTTCAAACAGCAAGCATCGTTTCTTGTGTCTGATAAGAGCTTTTCTGCCCTCTGCACAGAAGTAAAGGGCTGCTAAAAGTCCTCCTATATTGCATAAAATAATACACCAGCAAGTGTACTCCCTTGTTACCTTATTAAGATTCTCCATTTGATTGCTATACCTTTTCATTGGTTCTGAAATCCACATCAAACCCACACAATAACTGTTAAATAGAATATTTTTTCTTCAGTGTGTGATTTCAAGTTTTTATATCTGAAATGACAAGCCTTTCACAATTAAAACCTGCATTATTCTGTTTTCTTATAAGAAGAAAACACTTAGCAGTTCAACAAAGTCCTTTTCTCCAGTTTATGAGCAGCACAGCTATGCCTTTATGTGGTTGGACTGGCAACACAAGCCTGCTGAAACACTGACTCCACATCTTCAGTGTGACTGCGAAAGTAGATCCGATCTGCAGTTCTTGTGTGTGGAAACAGCTCCATGCGCTGCCAGTAAATAGGCGAAAATGTTCAGTTTCACAGTCTAACAAAAGCAGGTTCAATAAAGGTGACAATCCAAGGAACCCAAGGAAGGCAACCCGGTCTTTGCTGGCAAACGATTGACTAATAATAAGTGCGTCTGTTACCTGGGACAAGGGAATTACGATGAAAGCGCCACCGCCGGCACTTTCCGTGACGACTGCCAGAAACTTGGCGTTGACGGCACAGAAGTGGTTGTCGTGGACGTTCTTGGTGATGGGGATGCCGTCAAAGCAATGCTCCCGGTTCGCTACTTTGCCATAAACATTTCGAAACTTGGAGCTTCGGTAGGTCGGACGCCATGACATCTAGGAGGGAAGAAGAGATGGCAAACATAAATGCTTTGATTTTCTTTAGAGATGTATCGATTCCAGTTTTCTGGCTGATCGCTGATTACCAATCTTTTGAAAAGCCTGACCCACCGGTTCCGATTTCGGCCAATACCCAACATTTTGTCTGACAAGGCGCTAAATATAGCAAGAAAGTTGTTGTCTTGGCAACAGTGGGGTGACTATTGTTAACTTGCAGAAATGACCTGCTGGATAAGTCTGTCAGTCAAACCTCTCTCATAGAAGAGCAGAAGAGAAAAGAACGGTTGATCGGCCGATCTCCCAAAATTGAGGAAATCATCTCAGATAAATTGTCAGGCTGATCAATCGGTGCACCCCTAATTCTCTTCCTAGTTTGTGTGGAAGAGAATTAGCGCTTGGAAAGCTTAGCAAAGCCAATATTTCTATTTAATTTGTGCAAAACAGTACTAAAATCAAGACAATCAGTTTGGAGTTTTAGCAAAGCAAACAGAGCCGAAAGCCAACATGCTTTATGGCAGATTCATGTGTAAAAACGGCCCAGTCATTCTCCAGACCCTAATCTGACCAAGAATCTACAATAAGATTTGAAAATTGATGGTCACAGAAGCTCTGTCTCCAATCTCCCCATGCAGTTTTGGAAAAATATATTGGAGAAAATGCAAACCTCCAGATTTGCAAAGCTGGTAGAAATGTTCTCAAAGATGTGAAGCAGAAGGTGATTCTATAAAGTGTGGAGGGGCTGAATAAAAAGACACTCAATTAGATTTTAATCATAAAAAATGTAGTGCTTGTAAATAAAAAAACTGAACTGAATCCATAATGCCTTACTTAGTGTTGGTCAAACCTATAAACCCCCAACAAAATGTAAACGTTTCTGGTCGTAACAAGCTAAACAGTAAAAAGATCTCGGCAATTTAGAATTGTTTTTTTGCAAATATTATATGACTCTATTCCAACTCGTTGAATAAGTGGACTATTTTTGTCACCTAAAAATATAAATGGAAATCAAACGCCACAAAACTAGAAAAATGAAAAATCAGCTTGCATGGAAACAGATCCTGTCCCTTGGTATTTCGTGGCTCAGGATAATATACGCAGACACAGAATCTGCCGTTTTCACATTCACATTCTGTAAAGTCACTGCCACAGGCTGGGCTGGCCCATCTGCGCAGACGTGATAGCAGTCACACATGCAGTGCTGGGAAATTATCCAAACTTCTGATGGGTGTGAGACTCTTGGAAGGTGAAAACTGCTTTGACGATGTTTTGCGTTCAATGCACAGGAAAGAAAAAAACTACTGACCATCAAGCCGAGTAAATAAAGTACAAAATAAAGAAAGAAGAAGAAGAACAACAAAAAAAAAGCTCAAATCAGCACAACAGTCTGACTGCATTTTGTCTTTGTGCAACATGTACAAGAGAAAAGCAGCAATTGTTTACAGCTTGTAGCCAAGAAAGAGAATTGCTTTTATTTGACTCAGGAGGCACTTTTTGGTTTTCGTCACCACATCAATGCCCTGGTGCAGCTCTTGATGTTTAGAATTAGCTGGTTCAGCCGCAGGGCACTGATGCTAACTTTTAAACAGTTCTGTTCAGAAACTGGGAGGGAGGGGCTCTTACTGGTGCATTTCATCGCATTTTGGTCAATTTTCTGAGCATGCGAAGGGAACTGCAGGCGGAGGATTTATTGCTCTCGTCAGATCAGTGGCAGCGATGCCGGATGACATCAGGCGATCCTCTATTCAGCATTGTTCTACAGATAAGGGGGTTAGCTGCTAGCGGTGGTGGGAGGGGTGCAAGCATGCAAATAGAAACATCCTCCAAACATGCTGCTGTTGTCTTCTCATCTCTAAGCAGGCGGGAAGAATTGGCCTCAAGCTGACAACACAAGAGGCTGCCATGGCATTGCTTTTCCTTCAGCCAAATACGTGGACCACTTTCAAGTTAAACACAAATATTTATCGTTATAAATAAAGCTAGGTAATGCAAGTCTGGAGGGATTGTTTTTTGTTTTTTTCCTCTGAACTCATAATTTATAATACACAGTAAGTTTGATTTGATTACATGTAAATTATTTTCTTTTTTTAAGTTGGAGCTCTATTCTCTCTTAAGTGCGTAACCCTATTTTTCATTTTAACAATAGATTTCTAGACAATAGTGTTCTAAGCAAAAACAAAATAAACAAATAAAGCAGCTCTTCAGGTCAATAATATTTTATATATATTTTTAAATGTTTTGGGGTCTTTCACTTTTGCCTCAGACTTAAACATTGTTGCACTTTGCAAATATTTGTAGCGTCTTTTAGAAAATATGTTTTGTTATAAATCTGCAAATATGAGCGGTGGGCCGGGACTCAGCAGGGTCGATATACTTTGTACAAGTTGAGTGTTTGACATCTTTTACTCAGAAAGGCTGGACGCCTCATTCCCGGGTCAGGAATGAGGCGTCCACCATGCAGACTTTCACTTTACCTGCTCTAACTCAACACTCTTCTCTGTAACCTGTCCTGCATAAAGAAATGATGTCCATGTCTTAGCACAAAGAGGAGAGGCTTAGGCATGTCTTCACCTTACATTCACTGACCAACTGATCACACACACACAAACACACACGCACAGATGCACACACACATAGAGCACTTGAGCCACAAAGCAGAGCTCTAATTAGTCAATGTCGAGCTCTGACTACCTTGCTCGGTCGGTCACATGCATAAAAGAGTCATGTTGACCTGAGTTCACTTTGTTGACCGAAGCGTCTTGATCCTTTCAGAAATCACAACCACTGTCTTTTCATAAATAACTTCAATAACAATGTGCCTACTCAACAAGGCTGTCAATACAAATTAAATGTGGTGAAATGTTTAAAATAAATGTATTTATTTTTCCATTTAAACATGAGAAAAATGCATTTTGCTCTTGGATTCTGCTCCAAGTAGCTGAGAAACTTATCTCCGATTCATCAAATTAAAGATACCAACAGCGTTATCTACTGCTGATAAGATAATGCCTGCTTGCAACATTTCAACAGAACCACACTTCAAAAACTGAACCATCCCTTTTCCTTTGATCTTTGAGTGTCTGGGGCACAGAAACATTGAACTGGATGTTCGGTGAGTGTATTTTTTAATCAGCAGTACAAGGAAATTGTTTCTCACAATTTATTAGCTGAAGCTACAGAACAATTTCTAAGCTAACAAAAATAGTATTGCACCAATAAAATGACTCCTAAGGAGCTGTCAGCTGAAATAATGTCAACTAAAAGATTGTACATCAAGTCTTAGCAACATGTTTTCCTGTTTTTTGTTTGTTTGTTTCTTTTAGATACAACATTCAGATATTGTTCAAACTTTTGACCATAAGGCTGTAAAATAAATGCTGAAAAAGCAGCTTTTGTCTAAGAAAAAACTCCAAGTTTAAAAAACAATACCTGGTTTAAAACTAGAGTACTTAATATCTAGTAATTAGTATAACATTCAGAAAAAAGCATAATCTCTAAAGTGGTTCTTAAAGTCCAAGCACTTCTTTATTTTATATTTTTGGTGACCCCTTTCAGCACATAAACATCTCATCCTCATCCCATCCTGATAAGCAGTGCCAGATATGGACCTTTGTTTGCGTTAGCAGCTTAATGGCAGCTTGCTGAGGAATTAACGAAGAACAGAAGAGCAGCAGAAATTAGCCTGAGGGACGGCCGGAGGAGACGGACAGAGCAGACTCGCCGGCTTTGAGCTCTCCCTCTCTTACAAGGATGCTCATTCATTGGTCACTGGCTTCTGGCACACAGAGCACTTCTGTCTGAGTGTGTCTTTCCTATCTCACGAGGACGTGCAGCAGATGCACAAAAACAGATCATGAGCGATGGCATGCAAGACTCAAAAACACAGGCGAGATGAATCTGCACCCACCCATCACAAGATTTCTGACTTGTGAGCTTCCTGCTCTGCCTGGGGCCTTTGTAACTCTGCTAGCAGTTCCCCTCTTTTGAATGTTTTTCCACAGGCTGGATGTTTCTCCCTGCTGGGTTTTTTGTTTGTTTGTTGGTCGAAACCTCTCATTTTTGAAATTATTAAAGAAATCACTAAAGCTTCTGAAAGTACCGCCTTACCTTCTTCCCCTTGTCCTGACAGTGGCTCTTCTGTCTCTGTATCCTTGTCAGACTGCAAATGTCCGCCCTCCTTTCTAAATGAGCAGCTCGGATCTCCACTCTTCCTTCCTACCTTGCAAATGTACGCAGATGGCCTGTGTCTGCCTCGTACTCTCTCATGTTTTTCTCCCCCCCTGCTCTCTAAACTCTTCCCACCCTCTTCTCCTCCTACTAGTGCTGATAGCTGCAGGGCACGCACCCCCTCCTTCTTCCTCTCAGCCGTCTCTCCCATCCTGCCACTCAGTCGTCTCTCTCTGTCTCCAGCTCCAGCAGCAGCAGCAGCAGTAGCAGCAGCAGCAGCAGCAGCAGCAGCAGCAGCAGCAGCAGCAGCAGCAGCTCTGTACTAGTAGCCATTCATCCTCTTCCCTCTCCCACCCCCCGCTGCGTGTTTGAAATCACAAGGCCTTCCTGGCTGATTTCCAGGAACTCTCTTGGTTTTTCGGCTCACTTTTCTCTGTGAATGTCTGAGCAAGACTTCCCAACTATTTCTACCACTGATATGATTCTTGTATAAATTTTAAGTAACGGCGGATGTGACCTCCTGTTGACCGTGGCGGGAGCGCAGACATGAGCGCAGAAGCATATTTTTAAATTGATCAAAGATGACGATAGCTTCTAAATATAGAATGAAACAGGTTAATTGATGTATAACACAATGTTAAAGTTCTTTGCCCCAATCCTTATTTCATGTATTTTGCTACCAAGAAGTCAAACTTTACTTTCAAAATTGGTCTTGATCAATATTTCTTTCTGTCTTTTAAGAAATCTGTGAAGCTTTTTCGGCTAATTTGTCAATTATGAAGGCATTATTTATTTGTGAAATTACTAAATGAAATCCTGAAGGGAATGAAGAG